GGTTCAGTTATAACCTGGGTAGATGATTCCGGATGGGTTAAGTTCATAGCAAGTATCAATGAGGAGGTGTAGTAGTTGTGGTGGTAGCTGTTCTAAAGAGAGTCAGGGGTTGGTAGACCACAGGAGTTAGTCAGTGAGGCTAGTTTAAAAAAGTGGCAAGCCTCGATGCCTCTAGTAAGGATACAATTTATTACTGGCCATGGTAAGCCTGAAATATGTGGGCACGATTAAAGATCCACCACTCAGGGTCACTGTGTGGGGTAAGGGCTAGACAATTAACCATGGGAATAGGGTGCCCATAGCTCCCAGAGGCCATTCATGACAAAGTTAGCCTTTCATCCTTTCAACACAGCTTTCACAGTTTAGGAATTGGACATGGGAAGCAGTCGGGGAAGATACGGAAAAGGGAGGAGAAAAAAGATCATGCAAAACAGGTTAAATCGAGGGCTGAGGTCCAAGGTAGGGGTGATCCCCAACATTGGGCTTGTCTCCATCCCTTAAGTCCCCCAAGACAACAACAGGCAAGGTGAGTGAGTGAGTGAGTGAGTGAGTGAGTGAGTGAGTGAGTGAGAGTGAGTGAGTGAGTGAGTGAGTGAGTGAGTGAGTGAGTGAGAGTGAGAGTGAGTGAGAGTGAGAGTGAGTGAGAGTGAGTGAGAGTGAGAGTGAGAGTGAGAGTGAGTGAGAGTGAGAGTGTGAGTGTGAGTGTGAGTGTGAGTGTGAGAGTGAGTGAGTGAGTGAGCATGTGTTGTGATTTCATGTGCATCTATATTGTGTGTTGTGTGTGTGTGTGTGTGTGTGTGTGTGTGTGTGTGTGTGTGTGTGTGTGTGTGTGTGTGTGTTGTGTGTGTGTGTGTGTGCGTGTGTGTGCGTGTGTGCGTGTGTGTGTGTGTGTGCGTGTGCGTGTGTGTGCGTGCGCGTGTGTGCGCGCAGTGTGTGTGCGTGTATGTATGTGCGTGCGTGTGTGTGTGGGTGTGCGCGTGTGGGTGTATGCGTGTGGGTGTGTGTGCGTGACTGAGTGTGTGACTGAGTGTGTGACTGAGTGTGTGACTGAGTGTGTGAATGAGCGTGAGTATGTGGGTAATGCTGTTAGTGTGCGAGTCAAATTACAAGAAAAAAAAAGAGAAAAAAAAATGGTCTTAGAAAAGTGTTGTTTAAGATGTAATGCTTAGTAGTTATAATTAAGAATATTATGATTCCCAAAAAATCTAAATAAAATATTAACATTTAGGTAAAGATAATAAACACTTTATTATTTATAGGTTACATAAATATTATACATACAATCAAAGCAAGCCTAAACTATTATGAATGATATTCAATAATCTTTGGGTACCTTTCAAGAGTAGCTTACTGAAGTGCAGTCCACATAACCTGCTTTCATTACTTCAAAAGCATTCTGAACATATCATCATATGCTACACTTTCACATGTTCTGACAATGAAACTTTTCAGCTAGCAAAGGAAAGAATATATTCATTCTAGCAACATGGACTTTTATATGAAATTGGTTCATACACAGTGATTAAGCCTTGAAATCAACAAAATTTTTCCAAATCAAGAATAGGGTATTTGTTTCATTAATTTGGGGTTAAAAATAACACATTTCCACACGACCTCTTTTAGCCTTCCATAATGGAAAAAAAAAATTACAAAGGACTAAAATAAAAAGGTATTAACAAAGTGTTGATGTAAAGTGCATCTCTATTTGTAAGACTCAGTCAATATGATTTTGATTTAAACAGCTCTCACAGAACAAATCCTTCATCTTTGGCAAGTTCCATGTTCATTAACCGATTGAAAGTTGTACCTCGGTTTATGAACAAAACTCATAGTAGTCACAATTCATAGAAACAATTACCTAAACCTAAAAGGTATGTCAATAACTTGTATTGAGTGCTACACTTCCACAGACAAATGTTACATCTCCATAATGTTTTTGTCACATTATATGATAGCTGTCAATTCTGGTTACAGACAGGATCAAGTAAGACCAAGTAACTACATTTACAACATTATTCAAATTTTAAATTCTGAAGACTTATTTCTTTCATTCTTTCCAGTTCAACAATCTATCAACACCATTTGAGGGGATAAAATATAGCAACTAGATATAAACCATGTGTTAAGATTTCCAGAAAAACAAGAAAGATTTTTCTTCTCTATGCAATAATAAAAAAAAAAACATCTAGAACATTATGAAGACTTTCATCATCCAAAGTTATATCCAAAAATTCTTATTCATATTCATTAACTGTGAAAATGAGATTTCCTCATTCTTCATCTCAAATCTATAGCCATTCCTTAAGACAGTGAAACCTCGGTAACGTGATATAATTACAACCTTACATTCTGCTTTAACATCAAAACAGTACCAAACACAAACAGAGAAGTAAGACAGCAGATTTGAATAGTTACTGCTATGGTTTGACAATTGAAAGAATCAGTCAGTGTCTTGGAGAATTACAAAAGATCACAGGCTATTTCCTCTAGCAAAATGAAAACTTCCTAAAACATTTTTATCATAAACTATTTTTTCAATTCAGCGAGGTTCCACTATATATCGTAACAGTAAAATCCATACATCTAAAAACCTACAACAAAAGTCTTTACCATGAAAAAAAAAAGTCAATTAATAGCAAATGATAATAATAATAATGAAAAATCACCTATAAAATACACAAATGATACTTAAATCCTGAACATTCATCTACCCTCTTAAAGTCTGTATGCCAAGGTCTCCAACCCAGAACACTACAACCTTACATACGCAGCCCTACAATACTATTACTGGTGTACAATGCAGGTAATTTTTACACTTTGAAGCAGACTACTATCAACTAACTTAAACACTGACGATAATCTTTTGTCATATCTCATGGTTACTAAGAACTGGAAAGCTATTAATATGACTAATATTAGTTTTCTCTACTAAAGAGAAAGTAGAAACAAATATTAAAACAAAATATCACATTTCAAAGTAATCTTTTTGTATGACAATTCACGAAACATGTGCTTAATAATGATGAAAAGTTGTTATTGCGGATGCCATATTTTCAAACCTTATTAATATTTGTGTTTCTAATATTACACTGTTTTAATCAATGAAATTGTGCCTTTGTATTAATTTTTAGTACTTCTGTTGTTTTAAAGCAAGCCACGAGAAAAGACAAACTACTGATTGAAGATGTATGACAATCAATTAAATAAACAAACAAACCACATGAATTGATGAGAGGCCAGCTGGTAATTAATTTTCTGATGCCTCATGGAAATCTTAGTAAACCAGTTACTTAGTGTGACTAGCAATGCCAGTATTCCTTAAAAAAATACTGACAAGCTACTAAATGTGAAAGGCCAGCTTTGAGGACTGTTTCAATGCAATCAAAGGCTATACTTCCTGAAATCTAGTAAAGCTTGCAGTATGTACAAGATGCTATCAATTTAAAGAAACTTGGGCAAGCCACACTATGAACTGTGAGGACACCTTTAGAGAAGTCTCCTACACCCCTTCTACTTCACAAAATAATGTGGCTGTCATTATAGAAAAATAAAAATGACTCTGCTGTATTTCTTGGAAACCACAGAATCATCTTTTTTTCTCAGGGCAAAATATTTTGCTTCAATGTGATCTTCTCCCCAGTCGACATCTATCAAACACTAAAATTGCATACACTTAGCTAACATCAAGTCTTCAAAAAATATTTCCCTCACAAGCAATTAATGATGGAAAAAAAGGAGGGCTCATATCCAAGGAATATATGGAAAGCACTTTCTGACTGTAAGAATCTCATTTTTAGATACATAAACTTCACGTCAGCTTTCAGTACCTTTCACTCATTGGTTCTCAAAAATTGGTTGTCCATTCTGATTACAAACATCCAATGGGCTAAGTCACTATCATGCCTTTTAACCAACCAAAACAAATTCTATCCATACATGGGGCAGACTAGTTAAGACTAATCCTTTATACATAATACTGAAATAAAAAAGTACACAGGATAAAAAAAATAATAAATAAACCAATAAATCAAAAAGGCTTTTATAACCTAGCCAAAGAGCTAAAGCTCAGTAACACACAACCAAATCCAAGACCCTATAAGTATATATCAGTCTAGTGCAGCTATTTTGTACCACACTTTTCTGTAAGCTTATTGTGCTTAGCCATATCTAATATTTAAAGATCATCCTCATACATCTATTACCTTTGTAAGTACAGTTTTTGAAAGTGGGGGAAAACAGAGAAAACAAAAAGAAAGAAAGGAAAAATAAAGTGATACAGCATTTTTTTAGGTGTACAGCAGCTATGCAAAAATAAATCATAGTGATAATCATTAATAACTTAAATACACTGAACATAAACTTTACATCCTTTCACTTCATTTTACACATCATGTACACAATGTAATCATTCTTACTATAACAGCAAAACACAAAATGTTAGCTCTGTCAGCAAAACAGTCAAGAATGTTCTAACCTCTCTTGAAGGTTAGACTGTATCCACAAAACACTTCACAGTCTTCTGCAAAATTGACTTTCATCCTAGTAAGATAAGGCTTGCGGTACACCATTAACTGTTTTGGATTTGAGTACATCATTTTCAAAGGTCATGACAGTTTCTTGGCCACCCTCTGAAACCTTCTTGGTGGTAATTTTCTTGCCATTAATGAATTTTGTCGAGGTGGAAGTGCGTTTCATGCCAGGGCCCCCAACTGTGGCAAAGGACTGCGAGGAAAATGAGGTAAAGCCGCCACCACCAAGAGTGTCAAAATCTGAGAAAGGCGAGAACATCCCTGCGCCAAAAAGAGTGCCGAAAGGATTGAAGAAATTGCTGCTGATGGAATTTGGATGGCTGAGATGATGTGAGAGAGAAGGATCTGAACTTCCTCTGTGTCTGCCTTGTCGACGGCGCCGACTGTGGTTATCGAAGGGGTCAAAGCTGAACAATTCTGCAAAGGGATCGCCGCCAAAGAATTCTCTGAACACTTCTTCAGGGTCTCTGAAAGTGAACGTTGGGAAGGTGTAGTCGAAATCGTCATCATAACGATAGTGCCCATGATGACGCGCTGAGCGGGATGTGCGAGGCCTTGTAGGTCCAGGTCCACCTCCTGTTTGAAGTCCTTCTTTGCCAAATTGGTCATAAATCTGAAAAGAAAATAGCTATTAACATTAAATAATAAAAAACGGCATGAATCGAGTTTGTGTTTCAAAGACACACAGGCAAGTACATTGGACATAACTCAGTGAACATAAATTATATTGGAAAACAAGGACTCTCACAGTACAAAAACAGACTTTCCTTTCACTGGCCTTTATTGTCATGAAAGGAGAAAACTTTAAATATATTTTTTTAAAGTTCTTTGTTGGTCCCCTTTTTAAGCCATTTGCACAAATTATCTTAATCAAACAGAAAATATTGTTACTTGGTGATCAAGAAATTGAAAAATTGCAATTATAGTATTTACTTAAGGGGGCTGTCACGCTCTAGAACGAAATTTGTCAAATATGATTGGATTTTTGTGATTTTTTAATATGTTATATACACATATACTGAGGTTTACACCACCGTCAATTTATCTCGTATAGCGACTGTAACCCATTGCATCCAGTTGCTTCATGGAAATCACAGTGCTTAAAATATGGGCAGTGGGTTTCGTAAGTAGCCAATATCCAGGCATGCAATGTGTAGGGCAGATGTATGCAAATAATCCATGATTGGTGACAAAACTGTGTGCTTTCCCTTTGCAAAGTTATTTTCTGTAAACTTTCTTAGCTTTTTTGCCATTTTCCAATGTCCATAATTCTCTTTTGATTTGCTTTACCCAGATTGTAGTACCTTATTTTCCTTGCACAGACTCCATCATCATCCATATGTAGTAAATAACTCAGTGCACAAAAAATTAAAAATAAAATTAAAAATAAAAGAATGGAAAATTCGGTCATATGTGTCATATGTTTTTTTTTTTTTTTTTTTTTCCGTAATACAACCTGCGCTGCCAGTCTCTGCGGCCAGGAATATTGTGCATAGCATGGAAATGGTGTCCTCCCTGGAACAGCCGCTCTTCCAGATATGGCTTATGCATGTTACCATTGGCCTTCTTTCGTGAAGACAAGTTGCCGTTACCAACCCACAGCCATTTTGTCCCATGACTCCATGTTATCCAAAGTGTCATTAGCCCCCTTAGTGCTTTGTTGAATACTTAACAATGGGATTTATATATGAAACTCTGGCAACATTGGTATAGCTGGGGGGAGGTAAGCCCTGGGCACCAAATGAAGCCTGATCAAAAAGTTCTGAAATTTACTAAAATAACTGCATGATCTCTGTACAGAGGTGAATTTTCGGGCCCATGTAGACTAATGCAATGGATCAACACAAAAATCTAGTTTAAATAAGTCAATTTTCATTTTGCCTCATTTCTTTTATCAAACCTAGTTCCCTGGGCCCCCTAATGTTTAGCCAATTGGAAATCTATCAACTCCATCAAATTCTGCATGTTTTTTTTTTTTTTTTATCAAATTTAAAAGGACAATTAAATTATGAAATCCTTACTGAAAAAATAACTTGAAATACAGTAAAAGTGCATTTTACCATACAATTTCACTAAACTTGCTAAAAAAATAGGATGCAAATATCAGTTCCAATTCACCATATTGAAGGAGTGTATAGGACTGATGTGGAACACCTATTCCCAAATTTGCTTAGGATTATAAAGCTAAGTGATATAATCCATGTATAAAACAAGGTTCCTCTCTTTCTGTAGATCTCATAGGCAATGCTTTCAAACATGCATACAGAAACATCCACACTTACATGCTTTTCCATGCATGCACATGCAAAAAAAAACACACAAAAAACACACACGCACACACACACATGCACGCACACACGCACACACATACACACAGGCATACACACACACACAGGAACACACACACACACACAGGCATTCACACACACAGGCACGCATGCAGACACACAGGCACGCATGCACACACACACAGGCACAATAAAAGGGCATTGCTGTATTTTCATTTTTCACTCCCAATTTGCTTTTGTGAATGAAGTTATTTCAGTCTGTTTCATACCAAAATTGTTGTCAGATTACTGAAGGGTTCCTTCAAGCTGAAGTGCAAAGTCTAATTATCGAAGGCTGATTTCACCCAGAAGCTGTCTCACTTCCACTACTATGGACCAAATTGATAAAGGTCATTCTCTTCAACATCTCAGAACTTTCAGAGCATATGGTGATGCAGATGGTAAAAAAGTGAGATAATTAGAACATAAGACACTTGACTTACCTTCTTTTTCTTTTCATCACTTAATACTTCATAAGCTTCTGAAATTTCCTTGAATTTTTTGGTTGCCTCATCTTGGTTGTCTGGATTTTTGTCAGGGTGCCATTTGAGTGCCAGACGACGATACGCCTTCTTGATGTCTGCCTGGGAGGCACTCCGGTTCAATTCGAGAACTTTGTAGTAATCCACCATTGTGGAATGTGT